TTCCTAGGTTTTTAATATCAAACTGGGAGAAAAAAATGTCTGTCATGTGGAACCCTATTGGCTCCCATGTGATTCTTCAGCAAGGATCCGACCCTTAGAGATACAGTAACTCCTCGCTTAACGTTGTAGTTCTGTTCCTGAAAAATGTGACTTTAAGCGAAACGATGTTAAGTGAATCCAATTTCCCCATAAGAATTAATGTAAATTGGGGGTGGGGGGAGGGAAATTTTTTTCACCAGACAAAAGACTATATTTTATATATATGTATACACAGTATAAGTTTTAAACAATGTAATACTGTACACAGCAATGATGGTTGTGAAGCTTGGTTGAGGTGGTGGAGTCAGAGGTGGAAGAGGGAGGGATATTTCCCAGCAAATGCCTTACTGCTAAATGATGAACTAGCACTCAGCTGAGCCCTCAAGGGTTAACACATTGTTGTTAATGTAGCCTCACACTCTATATACAGCACGAATGGAGGGAGGGGAGACAGCATGGCAGACGGAGACACACACCCTGTGTGTGAGAGAGAGAGATGCGCATTGCCCCTTTAAGTACGCTGACCCCACTCTAAATACACTGCTTTTTTAGATCAGGAAGTTGAGACAGCAGCTGCTGCCTGCAAGCTCCCTCCATCCTGAGCCCTGTCATCTACCTTCCCCTCCCCCCGGCTCTATGGAGATAGGGTAAGCGGGGGGCAGGAGCAGGGGGGAGGGGGACACCCTGATATTAGCCCGCCTCTTGCGCATCCCTCTCCCCCCCACCCCCCCGCACAGCAAGCAGGAGGCTCCCGGGAGCAGCTCCAAGGCAGAGGGCCTGGGCAGCACATGGCAGTGGGGGGAGGGACAGCTGAACTGCCGGCAATTGCTAGCCTGCTGGGTGGCTGCCACACAGGGAACTTAGGGGAGCGGAGAGCTGATAGGGGAGCTGCCGGTCCACCCTGGTTCCAAGCCCCCCACCAGCTAGCTGCAAAGGACTGCTCTTTCTGCAAGCAGTGGACAAAAGCAGGCGGCTGCCAAACAACGTTATACGGGAGCATTGCGCAACTTTAAACAAGCATGTTCCCTAATTCATTAGCAACGTAACAACATAAACCGGGACGGCTCTAAGCGAGGAAAAAGAACGGGGAGTACTTTTGGCATCCGATGAAATGGGTTTTAGCCCACGAAAGCTTATGCCCAAATATATTTGTTAGTCTCTAAGGTGCCACAAGTACTCGTTCTTTTTGCTGATACAGACTAACACGCTACCCCTCTGAAAGCTGTCACCATTTAAGTGAGGAGTTACTGTACAGCACAGACCTCTGTGACTTGAGCTAATGGAGTAATTGATAGATGATGACAACCTACTACTGCTATGTGGACCATTTACAAGAGCAGGGGATGAGACATGTTTTGCCAGTGGGTCTCGCAACTATTTGCTGACAGCAGAGAAACATGGAGACTCAGAAATCCTAGGTTATTATAGGCCAGGTTCCAAGAGAAGTGTGCTTTAGTGGTTACAGACCCTTCTGTCTGTAGCCAAAGCACCCACCAGGCCTAGCTCCTCACTCTCTGCATCCAGTCATGCTGATTGCGCCTCCTCATTACTGCCAGGGTGCAGCAGCAGGAGCATTGGGAGCACAGAAGAATCTCCCGGCTCTCAGTTCCAGCTTCCTAGTGGTCCCTGGCTGCCAGGATTTGAATGAGCATAGGAAGTGAATGGACTTACTTGTGCTCAGTAACTTCCTGTGGATAGTTCTAATTTTGATTAAGCTTGGTGTGCCTGTGAAGTGGGGCAGGTATGAGACATGCCAAAGTTCGGATTGAATTTCCACTTGTCACGCTGTTCGTTTTGGCTGGAGAGGAGGAGGGGTTGTCTGGGCACCAATTTTGGGGTGTGGAGCAGGAATTTTCAGTCTTTGCTTTCTGTACATTTTTGTGAGGGTTCGATGACATAGATAGATTTGCCAGTGGGCTAGTTCAGTCTATGAATTACTAAAGATGTTCGGCTTTATAAGGGAGCAAGAGAAAATAACTAAACTTCTAGAAACTGAAAGAAAGGGTTTTTGATAGCTGTCAAATTTAGCACTAAGCATTACCTAATACTCTGGAATATTATCTGCGGAGCTTGCAGTCTGCAAGGCTCCTACTGTTTCAGAATTGGTGCAAAAGTTGCCAAGATTTTCAGACTGAAGTTGACTCCATCTACACTACAGAAAGAGTAGGAGTACTTGTGGCATCTTAGAGACTAACAAATTTATTTGAGCATAAGCTTTCGTGGGCTACAGCCCACTTCTTCGGATGCATAGAATGGAACATATATTGAGGAGATCTATATACACATACAGAGAGCATGAAAAGGTGGGAGTTGTCTTATCAACTCTGAGAGGCCAATTAAGTAAGAGGAAAAAAAAACTTTGAAGTGATAATCAAGCTAGCCCAGTCCAGACAGTTTGATAAGAAGTGTGGGAGTACTTACATGGGGAGATAGATTCAATGTTTGTAATGGCTCAGCCATTCCCAGTCTCTATTTAAGCCTAAATTGATTGTATCTAATTTGCATATCAATTCCAGCTCAGCAGTCTCTCCTTGGAGTCTGTTTTTGAAGCTTTTTTATTGCAAAATTGCCACCCGCAGGTCTGTCATTGAATGACCAGACAGGTTAAAGTGTTCTCCTACTGGTTTTTGAGTATTATGATTCCTGATGTCAGATTTGTGTCCATTAATTCTTTTGCCAAAGAGATACACAGAAAGAGTGTGTGGAGACCCAGGCACACTATAGTAGTTGCTGACACAATTACAAAACGGTTCTGTCTTTTAATGCAGAGTCAAGACCAAACCATGTTTCCAAACTGTAGTACACATTTGAATGTTAGCAAGGCTGTGGAATGACTTAGGCGCATGGTTAGAAGAGTTTGGTTCTGTTTGTGCTGAAAATTCCAAGTGTGTGAGACAGGGATGCTGTCTATTTGGAATCTAGTTAGTGCTTTAAAGTTAAAAGTTGTGTTGGGTACTGCACCTGGGCCTGGATCCCACTGACATGTTTTGTGCCTTTCCAGTCACTTTTTCCTCTTTTTAACATGTTTTTCCTCTCTACTGTTGCTGTGTGTGAAAGACCCACATAGACAGGGGAAGCTCACTGTGTGGGGTTGGGGGGAAGTGAAACTGACTGCACACATAGTCCTATTCAATGTACAAAGTATGCTGGAAAGTACCTTTCAGTTATAGTCCCCATAGCATTACTTATAACAATAGTAGGAAAAACATTTCAGGCAGAAGTTTATTTTTTAAGCTGGAGTCTCTCGCTGTGCCGGGGGCACTTTAGTGACACATCAGACACAGTAGTTCCTGCTTTTTAGGTGGGAACTCTGTTGCACATAAACCTATACTGAGGAGCTAATCTCTTAGTTACTATTTCCTGAGAATTTATTCGCAAAGTATTTTTCCCTGGTAGAGGTGGAGACAAGAGATCTCTGAAACCTTAGTCAGTTTAAAACGATTTACAGTTTTATAGCAGAAAGCTTGCTAATACCTGAAATAGCCTCCTTAAACTCAGAATTGCCATAATGCTAACTGTAAGAAATATTGATCCAAACTTCTGTTTAAGATACCTTGAACTGCTGGCACATTAAGCTTAACAAAATCTGCTGTGGTAGAGCAGGAAACAATTGGCTGATTATTATTAGTGGCTTCATAATAAAAGTGATGAATAGTAATTCCTGAATGGAGACAGTGAGAGTTCAGCACAATTGCAACATGTTTTTACTCTGGGGATCTCAATCTCATTTTAGGTTGTTCCACAAATAAATAGTATTTGTGTAGAAACATAGCAGGAACCATCTGCAATCTTCAGTGGTTAAGCAGCAGTTCTGCAGAAAAGGACCTGGGGATTACAGTGGACGAGAAGCTGGATATGAGTCCGCAGTGTGCCCTTGTTGCCAAGAAGGCTAACGGCATATTGGACTGTATTAGTAGGAGCATTGCCAGCAGATCGAGGGAAGTGATTATTCCCCTTTATTCGGCACTGGTGAGGCCACATCTGGAGTATTGCGTCCAGTTTTGGTCCCGTTTCCCCCCCCGGAAGGGATGTGGACAAACTGGAGAGAGTCCAGGCGAGGGCAACAAAAATGATTAGGGGGTTGGGCACATGACTTATGAGGAGAGGCTGAGGGAACTGGGGTTATTTAGTTTGCAGAAGAGAAGAGTGAGGGGGGATTTGATAGCTGCTTTCAACTACCTGAAGGGGGGTTCCAAAGAGGATGGAGCTCGGCTGTTCTCAGTGGTGGCAGATGACAGAACAAGGAGCAATGGTCTCAAGTTGCAATGGGGGAGGTCTAGATTGGATATTAGGAAACACTTTCACTAGGACGGTGGTGAAGCACTGGAATGGGTTACCTAGGGAGGTGGTGGAATCTCCATCCTTAGAGGTTTTTAAGGCCTGGCTTGACAAAGCCCTGGCTGGGATGATTTAGTTGGGGATTGGTCCTGCTTTGAGCAGGGGGTTGGACTAGATGACCTCCTGAGATCTCCTCCAACCCTAATATTCTATGATGTAACACAAAGTAGCAGTAAGCGGATTCTGTGAACATTGCAGAGACAAATTGGCTTGAGCTGTTTAGACTGTAAAGCCTTAAGACTCATATTGTTAGTTTGGAGTGTCCATGTTACAAGCTACTTTACGTCTGTATGTGTGAATTGTTAAAAAAGATAAGCACTTTCTTGCCATGGCTGAACTGAATATGCAGTCCTACTTGTCTGTAATTTCTGTATGAGATCATTTGAGACAGATATTCTCCATTCAAGGTATTTGGTCATCTTCCTTTTTCCCCATAAAGCAAGAGCATTGGTTTAATCGTTTTTGTAAAAGCATCCAAAATGAGTTATGGTTATACAATTTGCTTTGCAGGTTTTAAATCTTCTAACAGAGAAAGAAGTAAAGCTCGTCTTGCCGACACATGCCATTGTTCCACGGACCTTTGTACTTAAGCCTGGAATGGTTTTGTTTCTAGGCGCTTTGGGACGCATAGACTATTTGCAGGTAAGGGAGAGTGGATTTTGTAATGTTCTGTGAATAAGATCTTGTTTGCGTTTTGTGGTGTTATAACAAGTTACAAAACATTTTCACCATCAGGCTATTTGTGTAGCTTTCGTCACCATTTCTTTGGCAGCGGCTGCTCTTAAAATTTCCACTAAGGAAACACAAACCTCGTTGTGTAAAGTAAAAAATGCTTTTGAAAAAGGCTGTGCAATATGATAGCCCAAAGTGAAGATTTTTGTACTGTAAAGGAGCATCTTCAGCATGTTACCAAGAGGTCCTGAGCTTTGTTCTAAACGAAACCGGAGAATTGCTTTGAGATTGACGGGTCACTAACAGAACAAGGGTACAAATCCTTGCAAGGTGGCTAACGGTGCTGGAGTGTAGCCAAAATGAATCGACTTTAAAGGGACAGTGTCCAGTGGTTACATGAAAGAGCTACATAGGTAGTGAAATGGATTAAGGGCATTTCTGCTTTTCCCTCAACATTTATAAGAATTGTTTAGTCAAGGGAGAAAGGAAAAATGATGACACCAAACACTATCCAACAAACAAAGTAGAAAAAATAAACTGGAGAAATACTGTTCTTTGCTAATCCTTTTCACTCTCGGCAGTTCTGGGTAAAAACCTCCTTCATATAGACGTGTGATTCGTATTGGGGATGATTTCCCTGAAAGTTATTTCTGTTAGGTGGTGGTTGAGTCATGTTATGTACTCGTGCTAATTTCCCTTAGTGATGCTTTGCTTCATTTTGAAAAGAAAGGCTATTAGAACAGGGCAAGGAGTGAGATTTTTCAAAAGTTATTGTAGAAATAAAGTTGATTAGTATTTCCTCCAGGTTTAAAGAAATATCTAATAGTAAAGAGCAGAGCAGAGGGGCGTATGTGTCTGGGGTCCATTCTCCCCTTTATGCACTTGCATTATTAATGGAACTTTTTATTTATTCCATTTCTAAATACAGCTGTCGATGCCCATCCAGTGCTCTGCATGCCTAGCACATAAATAAAAAATAAAAAAACTCACCAAAGACTGCCCATAAATAGATCCACCTCAGCCAACCCCTCCCCAACAGCCTTAGGCAAGATCTACTAGAGCGCTTTGCCTGTATAACTATATCCGTATACTGTCCAGGCAAAGCGCTCCTAGTGTGGGTGCAGCATGTACAGGCAAAACTGAACTTTTGCTGGTATAGCTTATTCTAGGCCCCACCATCCCCACCCCGAGTGAAATAAACTATATTGGTAAAATCACAGTTTTGTGATATAATTGCATCTGCACTAGGGGCTTTTGCCAGCACAGCTATGTCAATCGCAAATCTTCATACCCTTGATCAACATATCTGAGCTGGCAAAAGTGTGTAGTGTAGCCTTGGGCTTGTGGGGGGAGTTGTATCCATGTATCAGTAGGAGACTAGATTCCTTGGTTTGGATTTGATGTAATCCTGTTTTCCCACTGCAGTTTGGATGTACAATTCATTATAGTCATTTTCATGCTTAAATTTGGTTTGTAGAATTCTAGGCATCCCAAGCAGAGTCTGGTAAACAAGAGGGATATTTTACTACAGGATCTGGGAAATGGTCTGAGAGGATCAGCTGGGCAGGAGAAGTCTGTCACACCATCCAGAAATAAGCCTGCCAGTTTTGTTCACACGGGCAGTACTTTCAGTATTGTGAACTAAGCTAATGTAGAGATCAGGGTGGGCAAACTTTTTGGCCTGAGGGCCACATCAGTGAGTAGAAATTGTATGGCAGGCAATGAATGCCCACAAAATTGGGGTTGGGGTGCAGGAGGGGGTGAGGGCTCTGGGGTGGGGCTGGGTAGATTGGGATGTAGGAGGGTGCTCTTGGCTGGGACCGAGGCGTTCAGAGGGTGGGAGTGGGATCAAGTCTGGGGCAGGACTGCAGGAAGCTAATATGAGGGGGCAAGGTGTCCAGGAGGGCTGGCTGTATTTTAAAGGAGCCTTATTGAGGGCACAGGAACAAACCATCCCAATGTGCAGAAAGAATAGCAAATATGGCAGGCGACCAGCTTGGCTTAGCAGTGAAATCTTCAGTGAGCTTAAACTCAAAAAGGAAGCTTACAAGAAGTGGAAATTTGGACAGATAACTAGGGAGGAGTATAAAAATATCGCTAGAGCATGCAGGGGTGTAATCAGGAAGGCCAACGCACAATTGGAGTTGTAGCTAGCAAGGGATGTGAAGGGTAACAAGAACGGTTTCC